CCACAACAGGACACACTAATCACCCATCTACAGAAAAAGACAAAAGCCTATCTTACAGCCATAAATACTGCACTCCCAAGCCAGAGCATAGAGTGCTGTCCTCTGAAGATGCCGGCCACAGAGACTGGCAAAACGTTAGGAAGAACAACCTTCAGAACACGGCCAAAGAGCCCGAAAAACCCACAACAACCATTAGATCCCAGCCGTGAAAGCCTTTGCGAATACATTATTAAGAACACTTGGGACAAACCCCTTTCTACCATTCAGATCTCCCGTCGAACCAACGGTTTCTACAGGACCCATGGCGTTGACGCAGACTTTCTCAACAAACATCCAACTCTATCATCGTTGAGTCCAGTCAGGCTCGAACCTACACCAGATCTAAACCAACCCCTGCCAACAAGGAAGGTAGAAAGATTGACATACTTGGGAAGTGAGTGTACTCCGTGCAATCCTTCTTGCTCAGAAATATAAGTTACCACGCAATTATGGGCGCCTTTCAGCGCCACCTATGGAATAAGGTTCTTCCTCTTCTAGACACAGCCCCAGAACCTACAAAGTCTGATCTCATGAATATTCACTCACAAGCCATTTCTCTTGCCAAATACCAACGAATTGCTGTGCACCACTCCGCTAAAGCTGCTCATTCATTCATTCATTCATTCATTCATTCGATTTACATCCCGCCCATCTGGTAAAATTGTACCACTCTGGGCGGCTTACAGCATAAAATAATACAAAAACATTTCTATATAAAAATAACAAATGGTGTGCAGAAATATAGTAAATAATAGATAGAAAGGAAAAGAAAGAGTTAGACGTTGACAGGAGACTCTAGTTGCCTCCATATCCATTCGACGCCATGCTTGGCTCAGGTCCTCCACAATCTCTGACAACCAGGATCGAGGACTTACCATTCGATGGTGCCGGCCTCTTTAAGCAAACAACCGATGACACCATGGAGGACTTCCATAAAAAACGTAAGACAGCACGGTCCTACTCCACTCAGCCAACTACCTCTTACCAAAGGTCCTTCTACCGTTCGGGCCCATTTCACCACAAACAATACCAGAACCAAAGATTTCAACCTTACAGGCAGTACTGTCCTCATCAAACTGATAGGACTCTACCAATTCCCCAACCTCTGATGGCATCATACCGGCCTCAGAGCCCACTCCGACAGCGCCAATCCTTTCGTAAAGGACAACGAAAGGGTAAGCAATATTGATAATCATTTTCATGTCTCTTCCCCAATGTTCTTCATTCACTGCACCATACCAGATTGGCCCCATTCTTTCATCGTTGGCAAGCTGTCACATCAGACAAATGGATTCTATCTATAGTAGCGTCTGGCTACCTAATAGAATTCTCTGACTTGCCCCCTTTGGGGTTCATCTGCTACACTCCTTATTCCTCTGCCCTCCAGGACGAGGTTACTAAACTCCTCCAGAAGCGTGCCATCCTACCGGTCCCAGCCTCAGACTGTCACAATGGTTTCTATTCAAAGTACTTTACAGTCCCTAAGAAAGATGGAGGCCTCTGTCCTATTCTCAACCTCACCCATCTCAACCGTTTTATCTTTCCCTGCAAATTTCGCATGCTCATGCTGGACTCTATTGTTCCTTTGTTTTCGCAGGGAGACTGGTTCATTATTATTGATCTGCAGGACGCCTATTTCCATGTCTCCATTCACCCGGACCATCAAAAATTCCTCAGATTCCACTTCAACAGCACTGCTTTACAATTCTGTGCCCTCCCCTTTGGGTTCTCTACCGCCCCCGAACTTTCAACAAGTGCATGGCACCGATTGCCGCCTTTCTTCACTTCCAGGGAATAAACATATATCCCTACATCGATGACTGGCTAATCGTGGCGGCATTGTACCACGACGCCATACAAGCACGAGACCCAACACTCCACACTCTTCAAGGTCTTGGTCTCAAGATCAACTTCGAAAAATCCCATTTGATCCCAAAACAAACAGCAAAGTTCATTGGCATAGAGATTGACTCACTTCGTGCCAGAGCGTTCCTGCCCCTAGAACGGATCAGGAAACCACAAAAAGCCGTCCATCCGTTCCAACTTCATTGCTCTGTCTTGGCGCACCATGCCCAGCACCTCCTTGGTCTCATGGCATCGACAACATCCGTCGTCGAACACGCCAAGCTCAAGATGAGGTCTCTACAGGCATAGTTTCTCTCTCTGTTCAATCCAGTGACAGACCCCCCATCCTTATCACTCAGCTCACCTGGTGGACTTGTCCGCAGAACCTTCTCATCGGCAGGCCTTTCTCCCCCCTGCGTCCAACAATACAGGTCACAACTGATGCCAGCCCCACAGGCTGGGGCGCTCACTGCTGCCAGCACACCGTCCACGGTCTGTGGTCAAAACAAGAGCTACCACTTCACATAAACCATTTGTAACTGTTAGCAATCATCAGTCTTTCACGCCTTTTTCTCCCTCATCAAGGGACAGGTGGTGCAGCTGGCAACAGACAACACCACTGCACTCTACTATGTTAACAAGCAAGGCGGCACCCACTCCTCTTCCCTCCTGCTGCCAGCACACCGTCCACGGTCTGTGGTCAAAACAAGAGCTACCACTTCACATAAACCATTTGTAACTGTTAGCAATCATCAGTCTTTCACGCCTTTTTCTCCCTCATCAAGGGACAGGTGGTGCAGCTGGCAACAGACAACACCACTGCACTCTACTATGTCAACAAGCAAGGTGGCACCCACTCCTCTTCCCTCGTTTATCTAGCTGTTCACCTATGGGAGTGGTGTTATTCCAACCATATCTTCCCTATTGCTGTCCACATCTCTGCTGACGCCAAAGTCCTAGCCGATCACCTCAGCCAGCTACCAGTGAGAACCCACAAATAGGCTCTGAATGATGTCGTATTCCGGTGGCTATGCCTACCTTCCATAGACCTCTTTGCATCCGATGCCAACAAGAAATGTGCCCGGTTCTGTTCCAGAGCTGGGAGGGACAGCACCTCTCTGAGAGATGCATTCCTGATGGACTGGTCTCATGATCTCCTTTACATGTTCCCTCCTTTACCTCTCATCCAGTGAGTAATTATCCATCTTCGACAAGACAGAACCAATGCAATTCTAATAGCCCCATATTGGCTCTGCCAACCATGATTCACTCACCTGGTCTCGATGTCAACAGACATGTTACGTCTTCCTCTCCATCTAGATCTCCTCTCGCTCGACCACAGGCTCATCTATCACCCCGACGTTGCCTCCCTCAGCCTTGGACCACAGGCTCATCTATCACCCCGACGTCGCCTCCCTCAGCCTTGCAGCTTGGAGAATACTCCCAACGTGGTGATGCAGGTTCTCCTTCAGGCTCGTAAACCTTTCACCACTCTCCTGTATGAAAACAAATGGAAATCTTTCCTGAAATATACTCACGACAATGACTTACCTGCTGTACCTGTCTTCTTGAAGACCCTACTTAATTAACTCCTTCATCTCTTCATCTCCCTCTCCACGCTGAAGGTCTACTTATCAGCCATCATGGCTCATCAACCAGATGACTTCCCCTCTTCCAAGTTGTTTTCCCACCCAATTGTCAAATTCCTCAGGGGACTCAACAACAGCAACGCATCACACCCCAGTGGTCATTGCAGGTGGTTCTTAATGCCTTGATGCGATCTCCATTTGAACCAATGGTGTCTATCGACCTCAAACTCCTCACTCTCAAATGGGCTTTCCTAGTCGCCATTACCTCGGCCAAACAAGCCAGCGAGCTCGCAGCTCTCCAAGCTGATCCTCCCTTTATCCAGTTTCACCCTGATAAAGTGACTCTCTACTTTGACGTTTCCCTTCTCCCAAAGGTTGTCTCCGACTTCCACCTCAACCAATCCATTATATTACCATGTTTCTTTAACTCTCCATTCTCATCGCTGGAACATATGCTCCATAAACTCGACTTCAGACGTGCCCTCGCCTTCTATGTCGAAAGGACAAAAGCCTTCAGGAAATCCAATAAACTCTTTGTATGCTTTCATGGCCCAAACAAAGAGGCTCCAGCCTCCTCTCAATCCATAGCACGCTGGATAGTACAAACTATCTCTCTGGCTTACAAGTTGTCTGGGAAATCCCCTCCAAAACATTTAACAGCTCACTCGACCAGGGCCCTATCCACCTCCACTGCCTTTCAACGTGGCACCGAGGTTCCTGACATCTGTCGTGCTGCTACCTGGTCCTCACCGTCCACGTTTGTCAAACACTACCAGCTGGACATCAGAGCACGCCAAGATGGTGCATTTGGCAGAGCTGTCCTGTCATCCTTCTTACCGTGATGACCCACCAACCGGTAAGTGCAGCTTGCTAGTCACCCATATGTGTGCTTTCACAGAAGCCATGAAGAAGAAAAACAGGTTCCTTACCTATAACTATAGTTCTTCAAGTGGTCCTCTGTGAATTCACACAGCCCACCCATCCTTCCCATCTATCTGTCACGGGTTAATTACATACAGTACTTAGTTCTTTCCTTGATACCCGGCGGATAAAATTCAGGAACTGGGGAAGATGGTGGGTGGGAGGAGCATATACCTTGTGGAGGATCACACCATAAAATTGTTACTTTTAGCTCTAGAATCTTCCGAGAGAGTCAGCGCAAGCACAGACAATACCCATATGTGTGAATTCACAGAGGACCACTCAAAGAACTATGGTTACAGGTAAGTAACCTGTTTTTCTTCTTGCATGGTAGACACTTAAATCTGGATTTCTGGCTCAGTTCTCACATTTAGCAGCTGAGGTTGAGCCTACATGGTGCACAGCTGCTTGTTTCTGTTTGCCAAGTTTTTAATGCACAACTTTGATAATTTATTCCTATTTCTATTGATTGGCAATCTGTGGAGGCAGTATGATTTGCAATTGGGCTCTCAGTTCAGATACAGTATCAAATCATAGTTAAACTGCTACTGTGCCTAGTGATAATTTTCTGATAATTTTGCTGATTATTACTGTTCTGAATTTTAGGTTTTCAAAGTATGGGTGATGGAGGTGTTGCTTGTACAGTTGGAAGAGTATTTGACAGATGTGGCAGAGGAAAGTTTACCAGTAAGCTATATGGGTTTTTGTTACATTAGTAATGGATTTATTCAATCACAGATTTAGGCTGAAGAATCTAGAAAGAAAAGCATGAATAAGTAAATGGTAAATGTTTTTACATTGTCTTTAAGATATGGTTGTTTGAAAATCATTCTGTGTGGACTTCAGAATTACTATTTATGTGCACCAGAGCATAGTGTCTTAGAAATAAACATTTATATTTAATACTGTACCTTTTCTTAGCAAAGTGTCACTATGTAAAATGAAATAAATATATATTTGGGTTATATTAAAGCAGATGATGAAAATGAGAAGGAAGAGGGAAAATGGAATTCTCATGACTTTGGCTTTAAAAGAGGAGGATTTGATGCTCCAGCAGGTATGAATCGGGATGAAATAATTGCTTATGGCTAGAGATGTGCACGAATTGCCACTTTGGTGATTTGCCCTGGTTCCTTTATCACTTGCAATAGGTGTTCTGTGGTTTGGTGCCCTGCCCCCTCCAGTGGGTGCCTGCTTGGAGGAGCATTCTGACTTCCCTATCACGCTACCACCAGGTGCTGTTTCTAAATGGGTGCCCACTGGAGGGGACAGAATGCCGGACCATGGTGTTGCTTTAACAATATTCCTTAACCATCTATTCTCTATTCCTTCTTTTTCCTATTTTAAACACACCAACTTTCCAATGTCTATCTTAGCTCTCTCAATTCAGTATCCTAACTCTCTCACTTCCATTTCCTATCCCCTTCTCTCTGAGTGTCTAACTATCACTTTAACTCCGCCCCTCCTGTCCTATCATAGGCTCCTGCACTTGAGCTCCATGTGATGGACAGGAGTGACGTGGGCATTCCGCCACACATGGAATACCTGTTGGAGCTGTAAATGAATTGAGCTGAACCTACAGTTAGTGCCCATAACTACTTGTGCCTGGCTTACTCTCTTCATATGTGTTGTGCTGATCCAGATTTGAGAACTGTATAGGATTGTTGGCAGTTGAAGTACTGTATATAAAATTGTACTGCAACAAAAATATTGTGTGTCTTTAACGTACACAACCCAGAAGCCTTCTGCTAAATAGAGGGGTGTTCATTTAGTTCTGAAGGTATTTCAGAGCACTTCTTAGAAATGCTTTCTTCCCCCAGGTCACTTTGAAAACAGTGGGAAAGGATTTCAAGAAAGAGGTAAACTGTTTATATAGGTAATTCTTGTTGTACATGAAAGATTACTTGAAGTGCTTAATTTGTCATCATCCTAACCATCACAATCCTATGAAATATAGCTCACAATCTTCCTATTTAAACTGTCTTCAGATAGTATAGCTTAATTTTGTTCATTGTTTCTTTCTGCGCTTAGTCATCTGTCTTACCCCAGCAAAGTCCATCTCTGAATTCTCTGTGGATTTTGTCCATGTGGTTCAACATGTCCAAACTATTTCGTTTCTATTGTATTGATAATCATCTTTACATAGTTATACACAATTTAAACTGTAACTTTTAACAGGAGGTTACAAAGGAAGCAATGAGGAAATAATTGGAGGTTCTGGAAGGAGTAAGTATATTTAATTACATATAGCTTCAAATATTTAATTTTTTTCTCTTCTAAACAAATATTCATTTCACTTAAGGTATGTGGAAATCAGATGGTGATACAGAAAAAGGTGACTGTGGAGGTAAGTTTGGCCACAACAAATAAAGTCTAATAATTAATAATTGGAAATTATTAATTTTTATTACATTATTAATTTTCGGATAATTTTTATTCATTTTATAAGAAAGCACTAGTTTTATTACCAAAAGCTTTTATAACATAGTTTGTATTCTGCATGCAGAACCTGTTTATTCCTTTTTTTCCCACACGTTAGCTAATGAAAGTGGAGCCTCCTTGGCAGTGGTTTAACATGATGATCTATGCAGTGGTCCCCAGCCTTTTTGGAACCGCAGACCGGTTGGGGGGGGGCTCCGTGCGCAGGGGCACACCCATGCTCGTGGGACATGCCGGGTGGGGGCGCCGAGATCCGTCTCTGGCAAGTTCTGGGAAGCCTATGGACCGGCACCAGGCCGCAAACCAGGGGTTGGGGACCCCTGATCTATGGGATCTCTTCCAGCTCTGCAATTCTAAGATTATTATAAATTGTTATTATAATTGATTTGTATTGGAAAAATTCTTTTGGTTGAAATTCCATGCCCAACATGTATATTTAAAAAAATCAGAATAGTTGGTATAGCTGATTCAGAACTTCACTCTTCACATCTTATTCTCAGGTCCAAAGGTGACGTATGTACCACCACCACCACCAGATGATGAAGATGCCATTTTTTCACATTATCAGACGGGGATAAACTTTGACAAATACGATGACATTCCTGTGGAGGTTTCAGGGCCTGATAAACCACCAGGAATACTGGTAAGTTTTTCAGTATGTAATCTGTTTTCAGCAATTGTTAGAAAGCATAAAAGCAGCTAAGGAAAATAAATGGAAGTGGCAAAATTATGTTCTGCAGTTTCTTTCTTTTCTGAATCAGAAGGTAAAATGATATGAATATATATTTTTTAAATTTTCTTCTAAAATTTATTTTCTCCACATTTAAATGCAACTAATTATACAGGCTTTTTTCTATATTGTATGATACAAATTTCCAAGCCAATTTTATTTTGGAAAATTTGATTAATTCTCTTTTAATTGGTACAGTAAAAAATGAGGAGAGAGCTGCCCAGTTTCACCGCCACCGCCACACCTTTCACATTGACTAACGTGTTTAAAAAATCACTCTAAAAGCAGTTAAACTAGAAAAGAAGGTATATTTACTTCCAGTTGCTATCTGTAGTTACAGTCAGAAGGATAAGAAAGAAAAATGATAGGCGAGTCTCAAACATGTTGGAGACAGACCCCCCATGCTGGGTGTATGGTAGGAGAACAGAAGCAGAGAGAGACTTAACAAAGGAAACAAAGCCCTTTCATGGTTGCTTCAGGATTAATGGGCTGCGATCGTGTAACACAGCCGTGACAGGGCTGCACGATCACAGCGCTTTGATCCTGAAGCAGCTACGAAAGGGCTTCAGGATCAAAGGGCTGCGATCATGCAGCCTTTACTCAAAGGGAGCCTTCCCTTCTTTTTTGCTAAGCCCCATGGCTTCGCAAAAGACAAGGAAAAGCGGCGGTCAAAGGGAGCCCTTTGATCCCTGCATTTCCCTTCCTTTTGCTAAGCTCCATGGCTTAGCAAAAGGAAGGGAAAAGCAGGGATCAAATTTTCTAATTTGGGGTTAGAAAAGGGGGGAACCTCTTATACATTGGGTCATCTAATGGAAAAATATGGTACTCTGTGCTTCCACAAGTGAGTTAGATCTTCTCAAATCTACCTGTGTTGAAGTTTTAACTGTACTGCCCAACTTTTCAAGAAGCAACAGACCTTTTGAAGAAGGAGGCCAAAATTTTGTTCTCAGACTTCTAGAAGCAGAACTACAGTAGGACCCTGATATCCACTGGATCCATATCCATGGTTTCACTTAACCATGGTCTGAAAATGTTAAAAATAGTAAATAAAAACAGAAATGAATATATGTACTTATGGTGTAATTACCAGAATTGGCCTCTAGTATTCTATGTGTGGTGTGCAAAAAGGAACAAACCAGGCTAAAGGTCATGTCACCCACCCTGGTGCCACAGCCCAGTATCAAAGGACCAGTGTGCTTTTTTTATCATCATCAATAGAAAACTCAACAGTGGCTAGAGGACTGGAAAAGATCAGTCTACATCCCAGTCCCAAAGAAGGGCAGCGCCAAAGAATGCTCTAACTACCATACAATTGCACTCATTTCCCACGCTAGCAAAGTTATGCTCAAAATCCTCCCAGGTAGGCTTCAGCAGTATGGGGACCGAGAACACCCAGAAATACTAGCTGGATTTCTAAGAGGCAAAGGAACTAGAGACCAAATTGCTAACATGCTGTTTATAGAGAAAGCCAGAGAGTTCCAGAAAAACATCTACTTCTACTTCATTGACTATGCAAAAGCATGGCAGAAAGTGAGGACTTAAAGAAGCTCTTTATGAGGGTGAAATAGGAGAACGCAAAAAATGCTCTGAAGCTCAACAACAACAACAACAAACAAGATCCTGGCCACTGGTCCCATCACCTCCTGGCAAACAGAAGGGGAAGCTATGGAGGCAGTGACAGATTTTACTTTCTTGAGCTGCGCGATCACTGCAGAGAGTGACAACAGCCAGAAAATTCAAAGATGCCTGCTTCTTGGAAGCAAAGCAATGATAAACCCAGACAGCACCTTAAAAAGCCACCCTCTCCCTGCCTTAATTCAGTTTCTCTTTCAGTTTTGAGTCAGTCTGTCTTTCTGTCTCTCTCTCTCTCACACACACACCATTTCCTCCCTCCCTCCATTTTCTCCAATTACATACATTTAAATAAGCCTGATGAAGTC